GAAGAACCCGTCCAGAAGACCTTTACAATTTTTTTCTTTTTGATTTTTTACCTGGATTACTGAGATGCATCAGGACATTATATCCTGTAGCTTTTTGCACAGCTTTGAAATAAAACAGGCAACTTATACATCAAAACGTGTGATGGGGAATACTTTGTTGTGACAAAACAGGAAGTGAATGGTTTTATTTATTTTTTTAGCACTAGAAGCATAAAAATTCACTCGGTACGCTTTCATCAGCCAGTCTGAGCTGCCTCGACTCCTCTGACTCCTAACGAACGTGTGCTTCGACAGGTTCGTGATTGGCCGGGAGAAGCCGGGCGAGCAGAGCGAAGTGGCCCAGCTCATCCAGCAGACGCTGGAGCAGGAGCGCTGGCAGCGAGAGATGATGGAGCAGCGCTACAACCAGTACATGGACGAACAGGAGGTCAGTGTTTCAGAGGCAGAGTCCTCTGATGGAGGGTCCGGCTGMGCTCCATGAGCCGAGCGAGGCTGAAACGTTCTGCTTCCTGTGCAGCTGCACAAACAGCCTCAACATGTTAGAAATTATGTTTTTTTAGAGAAATGGCATTTTTTTGTAAAATTYTTACGCTGGGCTCTGAACGACTATGCTGAAATTTGATGAAGAAGCTAAAACTGATTTGTTAAAGCTAAAAGAACACCTGAGTAGTTTAAAGAAGCAAAATATCAACCAAAAAACATTGGATAAAAGCAGCAAAATGTTGACTAAAAAGTAAAAGTACCAATAGGCTATTTCAAAGCAAACTGTAGCATAAACATAGCTAAAGCTATAGGTGAAGGTTGCAAAGGTCTAACTAAAATTCAAATATCAAAGTTGGAACTAAAGGTAACAGAGTGCAAGCTAAAAAAATAGTTGCAAAATGTTAAGTAAAAAGTAAAAGTACCAAAAAGCTAATTGAAAGCTAAATATGGAAACGTTTTAGGTAAACTTAGCAAAAGGCTAGCTAGAAGCTAAATGGTGCAAAAGGCTAGCTTATAATTAGCCTGGCCCTTGCCTTCCTACGCAGCTCCACTCAATTCTAGTTTCCCTTCACTGCTCCGTCTGGGACTTCTCCCACAGTCAAGGATTTCGCTGGCAGATTTTTAGCCGGGCCAATCAGAGAACAGAATGTCAATTTTCTGCACAGTGTTTGCTTGTAGTTTATTTTACCTGGGCCAATCAGCAAACAGAAGGCGGAGTTTTGAATGACGTTGATGTTCTGCGCAGTGTCTGCTAGTTAGTTTAGCATACGGCAGTGGAGGAAGTGAATGAAGCCAGTCTGTGTTGATAAGGCTTCCAAATTAAAATAAATATGTCTGACAAAGCAGCAGCTCTCAATTACAGTCGTCTCGTTTGGCTCGGTACTTCTCTCCTCTCAGTAGGGTTGTTTACAGCGCACGTGCTTTCTGGTTAGCTTCTTAGCTTAGCCTCCTTCACAGTGGAGCTTGCACTTGCGGCCAACTGATCCAATCATTTTAAACTTCAGCAGAGGCCACGCCTCCTGCAAGAAACGCTTCTCTATTCAGCAAGTCCAGACCCTTGTACGAAGCAAAGTGAAGGACAGGGTCTGGTTTAAACCAGYCTAGCTTATAAWAGCAAAACCTTAAAAAGAAAGTAAAAGTAGCAAAAAAGCATACTAAAAACTAAATACAGCAAAAGCAGCTAAAGGAAAARTAAAAGTTAAACYTAGCTGAACAGTAGCTAAAAGCAAAAGTAGCAAAAGCATAAAAGTAGTAAATGCTAATTAGTAGGGCTGGGTATTGGCAAGAATTTGGCGATACGATACATATCATGACAGAGGGGTCACGATACGATATATCCCGATATATCCCCATACTATAAAAGGCGATATATTGCAATATTTTTGGTCCAAAAATTATATTAAATAAAAACCTCTTACTGGAACCACCCCCCTCCCCCCCGAAAAACAAAATTCATTGTCTCAGAAAATTCTAATATTACATAGACATACTTTTGATACATTTAGCTGTGTTCTGCTTTGTATGTATTTTATTT